CCTGCTGACTGGACACCCCCTTAATTTCACACTGTCTTCTAAGAAGTTCAAGAAGTTCTTTGAGGGGACAAAAGAATAAGTGCCAAAGTTCCATGAGTTACAGCCGCTGCCACCTAATTAAAATAATTTTGTGCCAGTTGCTTATGTTGGGCTGGATCCACACATAATATAATTTTAATCCAGTTTATAGACACTCTTGGGATAGATTTGAGATCAACATCACCACTTAAGTGAGGTTAATCAAGCACACTGCATGCAGGTTTTGTTTCTCCACTGTATGTGAAAGGTGACCACTGCTGACAGGTTACTCAACTGGCCGCTTCCTCTACTAACAAGAAGGAGGTGGTTTTCAGTCTGTGATCATTAACCTAGGCTCAGCCCCGGTGACTCTGCCTAGTCCTTCGAATGGTGCAGCTGTTGTCAGTCACAGAGGAGAATTCGAGCTATGTACCGCTTTGCTTTGGCTGCAACAACATGCCTCTACACAAGGGAAGAGGGAGGGAGAAAAACAAAAAAAATACAACTCCCCTAAAAAGCAAGCACCGCTTTGTTGTTGTTGATATATATATATATATATATGCCTGGCTCTGTTTATGTATATAAAATGGACATTATGGGGGAGTGAAAAAGACCCTCGTAAAAATCCTTCTTGAAAACTATTGTTGCTGACAGCCGTGACCTCTGTGTGTCTGCATGTTTACCCATAATTCATAATTAACAAAGACATTAGAACTGCCACAGGAGAATTCTGGGCTTTATTTCTTTCTAACTGGGCAGTACTAATGCTGGAAGTGCTCCCAAATCAGTGATTTAACATTTCAGGAAATCTTGGAGAGGCAGCAGAAGCCTCCTTATATAGCTCATACGCTGGGACTTTGGCGATACAGATACGGCCGAGATAATTATTCAGCTCTCGTTATTGCTGTAGCTCTGCACCTGATCCCCGAGCCATTAGAGCACTCTGCAGGTTATTACAACTATCAAACATCAAGGTCTCTTTTCTAGTCTCTTGACTATGTGGTTATCATTTTACTTCTTTTAAATCCCCCATCTGCATAGAAAACCTCTGTGTTTTTTACTGAGATCTGCTTACAGCCTTTCCTCACCCCTTCTTTATTGCTCCCCAAATGGAGCCCTTTTCTTACCAGCCCATTAGCATAAAAATATAAACCTCATGCTTCTCCACTTGTATTGTTTTCATACCCCCTCTCTTGTTTGATTTCCTCTTTGAGGCCCTGTGTACCTACACTTTAATTTGGGCAGCAAGCGAGTCTGTGGAAGACAATTCTCTGGAGTTCAAGGAAACCATGATAATATAATTTTAGATGATGGGAGTTGTCAGTGCCTATGTTTTAACCTTCCACTTAGTTAAATGCCCTCTTCACTTTATTATTTTGTTTCTACCAATTTGTTCAGTAAAAGACACCAAAGCCCAGCCCAAGAGAATATAAGGACAGCTTGCAAAATGCAATGTTTTTGTATTATGGATGTATTTAGTGATTCATTACTTTTTAATCTTTTGGCCAGAAAGTGTACCCTTTCTTGGAATTTAATGTAAAACAGTCTATGTGATGAAATATATTTTCAGTTTTAGTCAGAGTCTAGCCCTGCTGTAAGTTTGCTTCTAATACTTTTCTAGACAAACTATAAAATGATCAAAACCAGACAGCTCTGAGTATTCTGGGCACTGTGTCAGCTGTCTTGGGGCAGGCAGTCACTTATCATGATATATAAAGATAATACTATAAATTAAGAGTCTGAAGCAGACCTCTGTGGATTGCATCTTCAGTTGAAAGCAAGATGCTATTTCTGGATGTTTTATACAGCTTCACTCCCCTTGGAAACCTTTATTTTGCATGATCTCCACCAAACACCTGTAAAATAGGCATTCTACCCACTGCAGCCCTATCTGCAGAAAAAGCTAATCCACAAGGGGAGGGGCATTCACAGACAGGATGGTAGGGCCAAGAAACATATGGCCTCCTTACTTAATATTGCTGCATAGTCGTCCCACACCACATTCCCTTAAATGGGCATCAGCTCTGTAGCCAAATTAGCACCCTATAAAGCATGGATATAAAGGCAATTTTTGATGTTACAAAAATCATAAAACATGACTTAACAGTGTCAACCCATTATCTCTCTGTATTTATTGTGTACATATGTGTGTAATAAGTATGTTGCACACAAAATATGAAATACAGAGTTGTTTCCAAATAAGGAATGTTTATTATGAGCAGTGAAAGCTAGGTAACTATGTGGTTTAACCTGTGTTTCACTTCATCAGCCTATGCAGATGGATCATACAGATGATTTTCATAATTTATAGAAGAAACTATTTGAAGGTCTTCTGAATAAAGGAAGTTTTGTTTTGTTTTGTTCTGTTTGGCGGAACCAGGGATTGAACTCAGACCCTTGTGCTTGCAAGGCAAGCACTTATTCTACTGAGGTATCTCCCTGGCCCCAGGAAGTTTTAAATATTTAAAACTCATATTTTTTTGTTAATTTCATGGTATGTGTCATTTTCCCCTGTTTACATATCATTTAGCTCAACCATAAGAGGAAATGAGTATGTAGCATTTGCTGTGAATTATTTCTTCATAATCAATGAGAAAAATAAGAATGCTTCACTCTGAATTTCATATTATTGTTATTTGAATATTCTCAGAAGTTCCTTATATATATTGTTGTTTTCATTCCTCCATATAAGTGACTCCTTAATAAAAGAACTTTTGAATATATTTATTGTCATCTAATCTTGGCTCTTATTTAATGAGAAAACAGACTCAGAGAAGCCAAATAACTTTCATAAAGTCACACAGCCAACTAGCTCATGACAGACTTTGGTTCTGGTCTCTTTCTTGTAGTACATTTCTGCCTCTGATAACAATATAATTACTGTTATCCCCAAATCAAGGAAAGGTGCTTGCATGTTTTATCTTTAGAAGAAATGATGGTTTGTGTTAGCCATCCATTTTTGCAATTGGTACAAAAAAAATGCATAAATTTACAAGATGGTGGCCCATAATATGGCAAAGGCCTTTTCTTTGTATGACAACCAACTGACCCCTAAATGAATTGAAACCATGACCTCCTTTCTCATTAGCTCCAAAAGAGCTAACTAACCCAGAAACAATTGTTACAAGTGTGCTACAACACAAATCCACCATGTTATTCCCATGGGATTAATTAGAGAGCTAAAACAATGCTTTCTCTTTGAAAGACACACAAAATCACACTGTTATGTTCTTCTGACTTGTGAACCTCTTGAAATTTCATGGAAAGTTTTATGTAAGAGCAATACATATTGCCCTGGGGAGGAAAGTCCAAGTTTTTCAAGGTTTCTACAATGTGTATTTGTGATCCAAAATAGGTGAAAACTGATTAATTTATTTCATGCTCTAGTGCCCCATGCTGATATCATTGGTACTGGTGAATACTCCACTATAAATGCATGAACTGCATTATATTTCACTAAACTGGAGAAAATGTTGCTTCTATATTTTCTATGAAGGGGAGAGAAGGAATAGAAAATTAGTATGTACACATGGCCTTCATAATTATCAGTAAATCAGTAAAGACTACATTGGGATATTATGACATTTCAATTGATTGATCAATTGGATCTGGATGTCACCCAATGCTTGAGAGCTACCTTTTGTACACAGTGAAGAAAATAATGCTGTCAATCTTAATTTGGGGACATGATGGCACCTCAGATACAAACAGAGGACCAGGCAAAGAATGAAATACTCAAATACTTGACAGTGTCTTTAAATTATTCAAATGCTTTATAAGAAATAGTCAGCAGGACCTTTCTAGTAATCATGGGGTTAAAGCACTATAAAGAAACTTCCATATGTACTTTGTTATCCAAGAGACAGATAGAGAGATGTCGTTCTACTGATATATTACATAAATCATGGTGCCAGCCAGAAAAACAACAGATGACCAATTTGTACAAAGCATTTTTTCCTTATGTTACATTTATTTAAAATACATTAAATCGTTGTGCTAAAATTGAGGCAGCTGGCAGTCCAGGCAACCTTATAAAATTTGTGTTCTCTGGATCAAAGCCCATTCATTTGGAAAGGTGGAGCCATTGGGCTAGTATATTTGCTTAGTCATATGCCAAGCCTCTGGAGAACACAGGTAGTCAGAATTTACCCACATTCATTTTTTAAAAAAAGGTTTTTTCAAATCAGAAATGTGACAAATGGGAGTCAGATGGTTAATACCCATTTACTTCCAAGTGAAGTCACTAATTAATGATGCCAAAGCTCAACCCAAAGGGGGGAAACTCATGTGGGAAGGAATATGAAAAACCTGGCTATATTCCAAGGCATAGTCTCTTACGTACATTTTATTGATACAATGCTTATTTGACTATCGAAAGAAGAATCTTATCTTATTTGGGTGGGTTTGAATTGAACTGATTCAAATATGGGCCTAATTTGTGTATGGAAATTTAATATTTAGTGTTTTATATTTTTAGATCAGGCTTATTATAAATTCTTAAGGGACTTATTGACCTGCTTAAATGAGAAAAGATCACTGGTATGGATTTTTGTATGTGCCCATTGAAGCCAGCTTTTAATACCCATTGTCAGCTACATTCAAAACTAGTCCTAAATAAAGCATAACCAGAGCAGAGAAGTCCATATCCCTCATTTCTATAGTTTCTTCAGTGACAGCTTAATCTGAAGGCATGTAGTAATTTTAGAGATTCTTCTTTTAAATAAAAGTTTTTATTTAATGAGGTGGTCTTCAAGGTAGCCTTGCCACAATTCTTCTATCTCTACTTGAATTATGGACAATGACAATTTCAAATGACAACTGTGCTCTTATATGCAATTTCTTCTGGCAATTTACATTTTTGGAGCATAGAATTTGAACTGTACATAATATTGCTATTTTGATACATGATCTAGATTCTATGTTATTCCTTCATCATTCATTTCTAATATTGAAATTCAACATTTTTTAGTCAGTATTAGGCAAAATGTTACAGGCCTCTTGTCACCACTGTAAATGCTTACTGTGATGGAAGCATGATGTGTGTCTCAATGTTAGCCACACTGACCAATTCTGGACACCAGTCAACAGTACCCCTCCTAATCCAGAATGAGGCTTTGAGTAATGTTAGAGATTCTGATAGTGTGACTATCTACTCAGTGAAATTAGTCATTTAAATGAGTTGAGAAGTTCTTGGTTTCAGTGAATTATTCTTTTCTATTGGCCAATAATTGGAAGATGGAATGGGTTTTTCCAAGAAGCTAAATCTTGAAAATTAAAGCTATCAAAATGATAAAATTAATTTTAAATTCATCAACTACTTTTGGGTCACTACTGTTTTCAGGACATGCTATAAACATAATTGGTAGATTTTTAAGGAATTTAAATATACTTTTTCTTCTGAATTAGAGCATAATAAAAATACAAAACAAAGTTTGGTCTTTAGTTCATCTCAGTGGAAAGATTTGTATTTGGAGAGATGAAAACACAGTTCCATACATTAAGTTTACTCAGTTGAATGTCAAAATATATAACATAGAAATATGGCCCTGAATGCTTAGAGAAAAAGTAGAGGTTAGGTCAGTACAGAAATTCTATATAAGGGACATTAAGAGCAGAGGTAGGAATTGAATTAAGTTTTGAGCTGTAGAGAAAATTTAGATGCGTAGGATCAGTAGAGCATTTGATGGTATTGTCTGCCAGTGAGACCATAGAAATAGGTTCATAGTACCACTACTAGGATGGCTATAAAACAAATTTTACCTGTGAGTACTTTAAACAATTGGTTAGTTGTGTCCCACATGGAGAAGGACATAAAAAATATGAGGCACAGAAGAAGGAATTTACTTTCTTTTCATACTAAGTGTATGCTACAAAGTAATGGGGCCAACTTTAGTACTTAGAAACATTCCCCATCATCAATGCACTCTGGAAAGGCCAGAGGTGACATGTCTTGGCAATTGTTTTAGCACTAGAGTAAAGCATAAAGTTAGTAGAGTATGTTTGTGGCAGAGCCTTCAGGAATCTGAGAATTCAATAATGGTACCCTTAATAAGTACTTTTACTTGACATTTAAAAGGTTTCAATGACTTGAAGATTATTTTTTAATCTTAAATAACACATGTTATTTCTATACTGTTAGACCTGCTACAGTTATGCACACAAGATTAAACTATTATAGGATAAAATAGAGTGTATATGTTAATAATTCCTGTTTCAGGTCTTTCAGGTTGTTACAACAAAATACCATAAGCTGAGTAGTTTATAAACAACATAAGTTTACTCTAACATTTTTGGAGCCTGGGAAGTCCCAGATCAAGGCTCCACAAGATTTGGTGTCTGGTGAGTGCTTGCTCTTTGGCTCTTATGTCTGGTCATTTCTCACTGTGCCTTCATACATTTGAGAAGTCAAGCGAGCTCCACTGGGAGACTTCTTTCATCAGGACTTTGCTTCCATTCCTTTTACAGTATCCAAAGATGTCACCTCCTAGCTCCATCCCCCTCGGAATCTCTGACTTTCACAGAGGAATCTGTGGGGTGGGGTGTGCACAAATATTCAGACCGCACTAGTATGCAAAATTAGTAACCAAAACCTTGTTACAGCTATTTATTGAATTTTTAATTGACTTGAAATCATGCCCAACCATTTTTTTTTCACTATTTGAATGTGACATATCTTAAAAATTTTTAAGGCTTTGCTGGCAAAAAGAAAGAAATTAAATACATTCATCATGTTCAAAATGATCAAAACCAGAACTGTGGCCAAGAATGAGTCTTAGTTTTCAATAATATTGATCTCTTTTCTCAATATCCCTCTTCCTTTCTTTGTTCACTAAATTTTTTTCTCTCCAATTCCTTCTATCTTTCTCTAATAAAGATAATTCTAATTCTTGGATTATCAGGAGTCATTTTTTCATATAAAGTATCTGTGTATAAAACTTTGAGCAATTTGTAGTAAAATCAAGATCTCTATTTCATTGAAATTTATGAGGCATGGTTAAAGATCACAGCCTGTAGTATGAGGGCTTTGGGGTCAGAAACACTTGAATCCTGGGTATTTTACCTACATGCTTATAGTAAATTATTTGAATTTATTAAAGTTATTTGAATCTCTGTGCCCTATCTATAATCTGTAAGGCTTAATAGAAATACATATGTAAAACAGTAGCTATACTATTTGAAGCACAAAGTGCTTACCCTAACTTGTACCTTTTGATATGGTGCTGTTGAGGCTTATGACATATCATCCCAAAATACAGTATGACTGTAGGAGACCAGAATATACTACACCAAAATATAGCTCTTAAGCATATTTTGAGCAGATTATTTTGAGAAACTGTAAATGCAGTAGTAGCTCTGAAAGGCTGCCCTTTTAAAAATAAAATTTGTATCCATAAAGGAAATCTGCACTGGTAAAAGTATCTGCATTAGGAAGAAGTCTTTTATTATTTGAGGGGATTTTATCTGCATAATGATACAATTTTCATTCACCAAGCATTTCATCTCCTTACGGTCTCATGACTTGTCTTTGTTGTATTCATGATGTTATTCATTATTTTACTCGATACCTCACATATTTCACATCTTTGGGTTTTTATTAGTATATACTTGTGAGACACTATAATTACATTTGTTTGGTGGAAAATGTATACGTATATTTTTCTCATATCTTGATTATTTTTTATCCTTTTCTCACTGCTACGCTCTCCTCTTCCTTTCTCCAAGTCCTTTTTGGACCTACCTTCATGTTTCCTTTAGTCTCTCTTTTATTTTGCCATTTATTCATATTTTGGGTTTCTTAGAGGGGAGAAACCATGCAGTATTTAACCTTCTGTATTTGATTTTTTTCACTTAGCATTATAGTCTCAAGTTCCATACATTTTCCTACAAATAACTCAAATTTATTTTTATTGCCAAGTGAAACTCCACTGTGTCTATATACCCCATTTGTTTATTTGCTTTTTTCACTACCCACCTGTAAAAGCTCTATTTTCTTTCTGTAGTTCAGACTGCACTACATTTCAAGTTTTGTACTTTCTGGAACTTCCATGCATATATACTTAATTGATCTGGTTTTTTTCTCCTGTTAATCGGTCTTATGTCAAATTAATTTTTATCCCAACCAGAAAATCTGGAAGAAAAGGCATTTTCCTTTGACTATAACAATCATCTGACTTTTAAGTCTTGGCATTCAGTTGTATCTATTATACAAACATCCCAGAGGCAGCTTACCATCATTTATACATAAAAAATTATATCTAGTGGTTCGTTGGCTTCCAAACTTAATTTGTTTGATGATTTTAGGGAAAAAGCTGTATTTGTGTTTGTGTGGAGACTATAGCTATGGTTGTTTGTCACTTGAGGGGTTTGCGAAAGGAATCAAAATTTTGTTTGCGAACCAAATTGTATGCAAACAGAAGCATTTGTGAACTGAGGCACAGTATTACTATACTAGACTTTATGGTCTAGGAACCAGGTCCTATTTCATCTTTGGTACATTCTTGAGAAATATACAGTGTAGACTAAGCCTGTTTACATCTGGTCCTCATGGAACCTTCCTCCTGTTCCTCCTCCTCACCTGGAGCGGCTCAGTCTTGCTGACCCCAGGGTGTCATTGCAGCACTCCTGGATAATAAATTCTCCAGACTTGTTACTGTATACATGTGGTAACTATCTTTTTCCCTGAAAACCCTAATATTTATTTTTATTATATGCAACCCATGCCTTAAATATTAGTTAACTGAAAATTAAGTAATTTGGATACAGTCTACACATTTTAGAAGGGTTCAAATATTTTCAAAATAGGCTAAAAGAACTTCTTGTAAGTAGATGGCATGCCTGTCTTATAAATTGGCTAAAATAAATATTATGTATATGATTGACCATAACTGTCCTAAAAGGTAAACCATAGATCTAAACTCTATGTGGTACAGGATGACTAAACCACTAGTCAGTGTAGTTGTTTCTATCAAAGTATTATGGAAAATCATCTTAGCTTCTTGGGTCATTAACATATATTGAAAAAATGAAACTAAATATAGTTTATAGATACTGGGGACTTCCTGATATTTAGATGAGATAATACAGTATTGAGCATTTAAAAAATAGTCTCTCTCCACACATACATTTGAAACTTTGAAATATTTCAAAAAGTCAATTTGCCCTTTTCAGGAAGATAGTACATAGAATGAAATTTACAGTTATGTCCAAACATGGCTTTAGAGGACATGGCATTCTCTAATGACTACCGTTAGAGAGTAACATGTCAACTCCTGTTCATTCCTAGGCTTTTTTTTTTACTCATTACTTTTCCATTTCTTTTTGTGCTCTCTATTCATACTTGTCAGTGCAAACTATTTGCTTTCCAAACATACCTTACAGATCCAGGCATCTTTATAGTTCCTGCTTAAGTGTGTCACTAGCTGCAAAGGAAAGAATTTTTCATTGAGAGCCAGAATATGCTGGCACCTCACCTGTGCATCCGGGACTAGTATCATAGACTTGTCCTTAAGACGCCTTTTGTGAACAGCTATTGTGGCCAAAATGTTGTGTCAATTCATCTCTGTTTGGGGATTTTCCTGGTAGCTGAACCAAGGATGTGGTTTAATGGAAATTCAGTTTTATTGCACATTGTGGGTATATTTGCATATTGTCTTGGAGAAATGGCTTTAAAACGGGAGCTCATTTTTAGGCGACTGCTTTTCTTTGGTTGCACTGATGGAGAAGAGCTTATGAAAAGAGGCTGAAAGCTGGAGGTGTGTGACTGCTGCTTTCCTTTGCTGTGCCTTTTTCATTGCCTGTCTTCAACATCTTTACTTCACTACCCACGTGTCGCCTGTGCTTAGCCATGAGGTGATATATCCTCTCCTATTCCAAAAACATTGATCTAAGTCTCCCTCCTTCCATTTTTTAATAAATCTTAGTGAAGCAATATAACATTCCAGGTCAGTCCTGGAGTGCTGTTCTGGCCTTGCTGGAGTGGCTGCTGCAGAGCATGGAAACTTGCTGGCACAGTATTGCAAAGTGACTCTGTGGGGGCTGGACGACTTCCAGCCAGCAATGAACCACAGCCAAGAAACGCCAATATGGATAATGCAAACAAGAGAGATTTGGGGCA